TTCAGAACTGAAGGGCAGATAAAGAGCTGCCCAGACAAGAAAGAACTAAAGGAGTTCACCATCACCAAGCTATTATTATATGAAATGTTAAAGGGACTTATCTAAGAAAAAGAAGATCAAAAGTAGGAACAATAAAATGGCAAAAATATATATCTATCAACAATTGAATCTAAGAAACAAACTAAGCAAACAAGAACAGAGACAGAATCACAGATCCAGAGAATGTTTTGATGGTTGCCACATGGGAGGGGTATGCAGGAGAACGGGTGAAGAGGTGAGGGGATTAAGAAGTACAAATAGGTAGTTACAGAACATCCACGGGGTTGGAAAGTACAGTATAGGAAATGGCGTAGCCAAAGAACTTACGCACATGACCCATGGACGTGAACAACGGTGTGGGGATTGCCTGAGGGAGTGGGGGGTGCTGGGTGGAGGGGACAAAGGGGGGGGGAAATCAGGACAACTGTAATAGCATAATCAATAAAATATAATTTAAAAAATAAATAAAAGTTTATTTTTTCCACTGAGATAATCTGACTGCTCCAGTACTATTTCTTTTTTTTTTTTTTTAATTTTGTTTATTGATTTTAGAGAGAGGGAGGAAGGGAGAGAAAGAAACATTGATTTGTTGTTCCACTTTTTTATGCTCATTGGTTGATTCCTGTATGACCTGGGATCAAACCTGCAACCTTGGTCTATTGGGACAACACTCTAACCAACTTAGGTACCTGACCAGGACCAGCACCATTTATTTCTTTAATTTAAAAAAAAATTATTTATGTATTCTTAGAGAGAGGGGAAGGGGGGGAGAAAAAGTGGGAGAGGAACACCAGTGTGTGAGAGAAACATCCATTGGTTGCTTCTTGCACAAAGCCCTGATGGGGTACAGGGCCCCTGTGCAACCCAGGCATGTGCCCTGACTGGAAATCAAACTGGGCCTTTTACTTTGAGGGACGACACCCTACCAACTGAGCCACACTGGTCAGGTTGCCAGCACCATTCCTTAAACATCACAGCTCTGGCCAGGCGGCTTGGTTGGAGCATCATTCTATACACCAAAAGGTTTCAGGTTCAATCCCTGGTCAGGCCACATACCTAGGTGGCGGGTTCGATCCCCGGTCTGAGTGCGTTCCAGAGGCAACCGACTGATGCTTCTCTCTCTCTCAAATCAATAAACAGCCTGGGCTGGTGTGGCTCAGTGGATTGAGCGCTGGCCTGCGAAGCAAAAGGTTGCTGATTTGATTCCTAGTCAGGGCACATGGCCTGGTTTGAGGGCCAGGTCCCCTGTTGGGGGCATGCGAGAGGCAGCCAGTGTTTCTCTCACACATCGATTTCTCTCTCTTCTTCTTCCTTCCTTCCCCTGTCTCTAAAAATAAACTTAATTTTTTTAAAATTTTTTTAATATGTTTTTTTAATTAAACATATCCTCAGGTGAGGATTTAGAATAAATTTTTTAAAAAACATAAATGTAAGGATTTATTCCTGGAATCCTAATTCTGTGCCATCTACCTCTATGCCTATCTTTGCTCCTATACCACACTGCTTTGATTACTGTGGCTTCGTAGTAAGTTTTCAAATCAGGTAATGTGATCCCTCCAACTCTGCTCTTTTTCAAAATTGTTTTGGATATTCTAGGTCCTTTGCGTTTCTGTATAACTTGAGGGTCTGCTTGTCAATTTCTACAGAAGAGCATGCTGGGATCTGGGATAGGGACTGCATAGAAGTCAAAGATCACTTTGGGGAGAGTTGTCATTTGGGGGCAGAATTCTAAGATGACCGCAAGGTTTCTGCCTCCTAGTGTACAAACAGTCCCCTCCCCTTGAGGCAGAACAAAACCTCTGCACATGATAGGTCTTCACTTCCATGGTTAGGTTACTAATCTGCTGACTTTGAGTTCATCAAAGGGGAGATGACCTGGGAGGGCCTGGCCCAGGCAGGTGGGTCCTTAACCAAGACTGGGACCTTCCTGAAGGATGAGATTCAAAGCATGAGAGGGGCTACGGCCCCTTAGGCGGCCGTCAGGAGCTGAAGCCATTCCCTGGCCAGTAGCCAATGAGAGAACAGGGATCTCAGTCCTACAGTCACAGGGAACCAAATTCGGCCCAGAACCACGTGACCTTGGGAGAGGACCCTGAGCCTCAGATGAGACGGCAGCCCAGTCAACCTTGATTGCAGCCTTGTGAGACCCCGAGCAGAGGATCCAGTTCCATTACGTCCAGACTTCTGACCTGCAGAAACTGTCAGGTAACAAGTGAGTGTTTTGAGCTACTGAGTTTTCATTAATTTGTTACAGGCAAGTGAAACAATACAGTCATCCCGACAGCATTGAGTCTTCCAATGCATGATCATGGAATGTATTTCGGTCTATGTAGATCTTTAATTCTCTGATTCCGTTTATGTGAAACCTCCAGAACAGGCAAATCCATACAGGTGGAAAGTAGATTGGTGGTTGCCAGGGGCTGGGGGTGGGGGAATGAGGAGAGACTGTTTAATGGGTACAGGGTTTCCTTTTGAAATGATGAAATGTTCTGGAATTAGATGGATGTGATGGTTGCGCAACGTTGTGAATGTATGAATTGCCACCAAAATGTGCATTCTTAAATGGTTAATGAATATTTTTATGTGACTTTTTCCTCAGTTGAAAAAAATTTAAAAATAAAACCCACACTAAGAGAGCACGAGCCCTGGTGGGAAGCAAGAGCGCTCTGTGGGCAAAGTGCAGGGCGGCCAGGACTCTGTCACCTGCTGGTGGGGTGGCAAAGTGGGTCAGGCCCCAGGGAAAAGAATTTGCCAATATCTGGAAAATTAATTACACTGTTCTTTAAACAAAAGAATGAGGCTCTGCACACAAAGATATGGAGAGACATGTAGGATATTCAGATATATTAAGTGACAAATACAAGTTCTTCTTTGTTGGGGGCATTGTGGGAACTGGGCCAGGAGAGCTGAGTGGAGGTGAGGCATCGCCGTGTCCACCCTTTCATGCTGATGTGTGAACCAGGTGAATTTCTTGCCTCTGCAGGACGGTCCAAGGTAAACAAGAAAAGATCAGCATCCTCCTCTTCTCACTCAGCTACTTCTGTGACCTTTCCTCCCAGCCTCTCCTCCCCCTCCCTCCTTCCCTCCGTTCCAGGCCCCACTCCCCTGTGTCTTTGCATGTGGATCACTCCCTGCCCAGTTTTGCAATGACTGACTTGCCTTTCTTGTCAGCTTCAATGTCACCACGCCAGAAAGGTCTCTCCATCTTGCTTGTTCATTTCTTGTTCCATATTTGTTTATATCCACATACATTCACACACCTACACACACACAATGAGTGAAGGCTGGGCTGGCCTTCGTCTCTCCATTGTGTCTTTGGGATCTAGTGCACCTCTGGCCCTGGGACACTGGTCCCCAGAAATATTGTCAACGGCTTACCGACTTCAGTGACTTCATGTAGTTCGAGCATCAGACAGCAGCTCTCCAACTTCTCTCCGCAGCCGCCCAGCCCCGCCTCTAAGCTCCACGTTCATATGAATCCAAGGTCTCAGGAGAGAGCCCTAGGGCTAGACAGTACCCGCTCCGAGCAAAAACTTGGGGGACAGCTGCAAGAAGCTTGCTCCACCAATGCTCTTCCAGCTGGTCCTTCTGGACTGCCACCGCAGTCCGTACTTAAGACAAAAGGCTCCCCCCCGGGCTCCCCCACCGTGGTGCAGCCTTTTTCTTCACTGGCTCTAAGGGAGTCTCCTTCCCTGACGGTCCCCCTGCCCCTTGATCCTGACCCCAAAGGGCTTCTTCCTGGCCCGGCCTAACTTCCCAGGGACTTAAGGGGGCTTCGACCAACGAAGTTCTTCCCTGCCACGACCCAAAATTGAGCCTCAAAGAGCTAGCTTTCCAGAAGGTACGAGGCTGAAGGAGGCTCCCTCAGAAACCATCCGCCACTGGGTGAACTGGCTGAGAGAGGTTCATTTCCCTGGGAAGCCTGCTTTTCTGATGGCTTCTCAAAGAATGCAGGAGGGGGTTGGTGGAAGGCCAAACAATCCCCCCTCTAGGGTTCCTGGAACCGAACAAAAGGTCCTATTGAGGTTCCCCAGACTTGTTCATGACCTAAGGTCAGGCCTGGCCACCCCCTCCCTGCTGTGCCCGAGGTATTCTGGCCCTCCTCCCTCCTCCAAGTGACCCCAGATGGCCACATCCCAGACTCAGGGCCTGGAAGCCTGAGTGAGAGCTCCTAGCTGCCAGCCAGGCCTCCCCAGGCTCTGGCTGAACAGGACACAGGGTCCTGCTGTGGGAGGAAAAGGGCATAAGAGCCTCAGCACCCAGCAAAGCCCACACATTTGCCAGTGAGGTGGGGCCACGCTCGGAGCTTGGAAGCTCCCTACCAGCCAGGAACTGTCCCCCATCCCCTCCGATTGGTCTCAGGCAAGGGGAAGATGGGCAGTAGCCAGTTGTGGTCAGCTTGCCTTCCTCAGCCTCCTGGAGCCAGGTCTGCCTGCCTCAGCTTACCCAAGGGGAACTAGGGAGCACCCACCCCTAACTCAGATTCCCCCTTGGGGCCATGAAAGCAACCAGCCCCAGGGCAGTCTGAGCGGGGCACCCACAGCAGCCTTCCCATGTCAGGACTAAGGAGACATGCTGGGAAGGGCCCAGAGCAAGGACGGCAAGGGTGGGTTTGCATAGCTGTGGTAGCGATGCTGGGTGGCTAGGAGCCACAGGACAGGCCTGTCCCCTAGGGAACAAGCAGCTTGGAGACACAAGAGAAGCCCAAGGGCCTGGGAGGGAGGCTTGCGGCGGGATGCCCCTCCCATTCACAGTAAAAGAACCACAATGCCACGTAGGTGCCTTGGGGAGGGTGGGCTGGCTGCAGGCACAGCTGGACCTGCGCAGGCCCCTGTGGGTTGCAAATGCCCCCCTTCTCCCTCCTCAGACTCACATTCCCACACATCCTCTTCCACCCTCCCACCCCCACCAAACACATTCTCGCCAGACACAAAGACCACAAATATTGAATTATTCCTTTTATGTGAAACTTTCAGAATAGGCAAATCCACAGAGACGGGAAGTAGACTAGGGGATGCCAGGGGCTGGGGGAGACTGCTAATGGGCATGGGGTCTCTTTTTGGGTGCTAGAAATATTCTGGAACTAGACAGAGGTGATGGCTGCACAGCATTGTCAATGTACCAAACACCTCTGAATGCACACTTGCAAATGGCCAAAATGGTGAGCTTTGTTATGTGAATTTTATCTAAAAAAACGTGTCTTTTTAAAAATAAAACACTGCTCTGACTCTGACATGTACATTTCTTTTTTTTTTTCCCTACAAGGTTTCATTTATTTATTTTTAGAGAGGGGAGGAGAGGGAGAGGGAGAGAAACATCAGTGCGTGGTTGCCTCTCACACTCCCCCTACTGGGGACCTGGCCTGCAACCGAGGCGTGTGCCCTGGACTGGGAATAGAACCAGTGACTCTTTGGTTCACAGGCTGGCACTCAATCCACTGGGCCACACCAGCCAGGGCTCGCGCGCGCGCTCTTTTTTTTTTTTTTTTTTTTTAAGATTTTATTCATTTATTTTGAGAGAGAGGGGAAGGGAGGGAGAAAGTCAGGGAGAGAAACATCAATGTGCAAGAGAAACATGGATAGGTTGACTCTCATATGCAACCTGATAGTGGTGGGGGCTGGGGGGGGCAGGACCGAACCCACAAGCCAGGCCTGTGCCCTGACCAGGAATCAAACCGGTGACCTTTCACTTTGTGGGACGATGCCCAACCAACTGAGCCACACTGGTCAGGGCCATGTGCATTAATCATACAAGAAAAAAGCAGTAAATGACAACATCGGGGGGCAGGGGATGATCAGTGACGTCACAGGAGGGAGGAGCCAGGCATCTGGAGTCCTAGAGGCCCAGGGAGTGGGGAGACTGTAGGAAACTGGGGGAGCAAGTCTGCTCCACCTGTGCATTCACCGGATCTGGTGTGAGGACAAAGGGACAGAGAAGGGAAGCCAAGCTGAGCAGGGGTGGGTTTGCCCATCACCTGTGGTCCTCTAGCAAAATAATGCACACCACCCCCAGCCAGGCCAGCTCCCACGCCCCAGCTCAAGCTGACTAGCCCAGTCCCAGGGCCACCTCAGGAGGGCCTCCTTACCGTGTACTTGTCCCACTTCTTCTCAGGGTCATATGGTTCCCAGCGGCTGGCGGGGAAGATGTGCTTGTTCTTCTCATACCAGCTCCTTAGCACCACCTTGCCCGCATGTGACTGCGGAAGGGACAAGAGCCAGGCCTTGTGGCTCAGAGCCACCTGGGGGCCTGTTTCTTCACTTCCCCTTCCTCCACTGCTCTTCCCTCCCCTGGCCCAGTGTCCCAGCACCACCATACCTCATCCTTCTCCACAGTGGCATCACTGAGCAGCCGCACATCATCATGAACATCAAAATTGAAGAGCGGCCCTGCAGGGGAGAAGCAGCCGGCTCACCCTCATGCTGCTGCCCTGATATGTTGGGGACAAGTCGCTGGGGAACGGAAGGGACCGGGCTGGGCACACTCACCACTCTTCCCTCGTGCCTTGGTGACGATGAAATCATAGAAGCTATGGTGCTAGGGGCAGAGGACAGGAAAGCCATGGCTGACGATCCACCTCGGCCTCTCCCACCTACGTGCCTGCCCGGAGGCTGGATGCAGGCACAGCTACACACAGTGTGCCCCCAGCCCGAGCCAGGGCTCCAGAGCAGAGCAGTGACTGTCCCACAAAGCCCCCAGCATGCCAAAGCTCACCGCCCCTCCCTCTGCCACCCTGCCCAGGGCTGTGGGAAGAGAAAGGGGACTCACGTGGGGTATGATTAAATCTTCCTTGATGTACATGAGCTGCTCCACCCCTGCCGACCTGAGGGAGAAAAGCAGGAGGTGTGGCTGGATGAGGAAGCAGCCAGCCAAGGAGACCAGTGCCAGAGCTGGGAGACAACCCCAACTGCTTCGAGGCCGGCCTCTAAGTATGGTGAGCCCAGGAGTAGTGCCCACTGGGCTCCACCTCTAGGTTAAACAGCTAAGGCCAATGCTCCCACCTAAGCCGCATATGGTGAGAGGAATGGAAAAAGAATCCTGACCTTCTTCCTAGGAGCACAGTGCCAGCATGCCCCCTTCCTAGCCAGGGAGTAGTCATCCCGGTGTGCCACAGGCAGCAGCCACCACCGGGGGGTCCTGGTACCAGGGCTGGGACTGCAGGCTCCACACGCACACACACACTTGCTCACACACGCTCATGCGCATGTACATGCACGCGCGCGCACCCTACCTGAGCTCACTGAAGTCTTTGCGCAGGATCTCAAGTGCCTTCTGCAGGAACTGCTGCATAGTGTTGCCTTTTTTCATCTGCATGAGTGGGCCCGAGAGCCAGCACCCAGGACGCCAAAGAGTTGGAAGGGAAAGATGAGGCTGTGGTGAAGTGCTCTCAAGAAGGCAGGGGCCTGGAGGCCCCTGCCAGGGACCCCAGAACCCTCACTACCGTCACAGGTGGCCAGGCCCCCTTCCCCGCTCCCCCCAGGACCCACAGGGGCCACCCACATGAAGGGGCCTGTGGGGTTCCAAATTCAGATCAAAGCTCCTCCTCACCGAATCTTAGGAGCACAGGGAGCGGGGCGCAAGCCCCACACTGCCCACCTTGACTGTCCGCCGGTGCCCAGAGCCATCCCAATAACTGAAAGTGATTTCAATCTCTTCACCTACAAAGCAGAGTTACCACTAAGCCTCCAGAACCACGTGCCCCCAGGCTCCACAAGCTCCCTGAGGCTCAGTCCCCAGCCCCGGGCTCTCACTGCCCCAGGACGCCAGGCTGGGCCACGCTGGCCCCACTTGGTGAGCACTCACTCTTGATCTTCTCCTGCTTGGCCTCCCATTCCTGCCGCAGCTCTTCCCGGAGCCGATTCTCCTCCTCCTGAGAGAGGAAAGGGATAAGGAGGGAGACCCGAGGCCGCTCAGAGCAAAAGCCTCTGCCAAGGTCGGGGCCAGGGCTGGGGTCAGGCTGCCTTTACCTCGCGGTCACGGTCAGGCAAAAAGCTTGTGTCCACATCTGGGTTCTTTCCCAATTTCCTCTTCTTCGTGGGGATCTCTGGAGCTAAAGGAAACACGGGCGTCAGCTGCACCCCGGACCTTTATCGCTCGGGCCTCGGCTCAAATGCCACTTCCCGGGAGGCTTCCTAGACCATCCTGGTTGGGACTCACTGCCCTCTGCTCCCAGCCACAGAGGCCTGCATTGTCCTCTTCGCAGCACCTATGGAGACCTCAAAGGCACCCTTACGAAGGGGCCTTCACCTTGATCTCTACTGCCAACAGTGGGCAGACCAGGTGCTGCGTTCTTGTCCCATCAGCTGTGACCTGGAGTACCCTGGAGGATTTAAGGCGTCAACGTCAGTGCCTGAGGGAGGAAGGGCTCCTTTTCATTGGGTGGTAGGTTCCCCTCTGTACCGCAGTCACATATCCTATGTCTCATCCAATCCTCACAACAGCCACAAAGGAGCATGACATTCCTTTTTCCCATTCGAGGATAGTGAAGCCCAAAGCCAATGGGGAGAAGGGCAGGAGAAGCCAGCTTTGCCAACATCCTGGGACTCGGCTTCCCCCATTAGGACGTGGATGAACTAGAATGGTGCTTCTTCAACTTGCTGGTCTCAGCGCCCTTTAACACTCATACAAGTTACCAAGGACCCCGGGGAGTTCATATCTATGCGGATGGTAGCCAACGATATTCACTGAATTAGAAATTGAGCCTGAGAAACACTGAACACTGTAGAACAGAAAAGCAAGCACTGTTACCTGTTAGAGTAACGATGCCATGTCACGTGGCCTCTGGAAAACTCCACGGCACACTCATGAGAGACAGTGCAAAAGGCCAAGAACGTCTTCGCATGATCATGAATGCTTTTGACCTTGCAGACCCCTCAAAAGGGTCTCAGAGACCCCCAGGGGTCCCAGGCCACTCTTTGAGAACCACAGACCTGGAAGACAAGCCTGCCCTCCAGCCTGCTGCCCCAAAGCAGGGTTTCCAGAGCCTGGCTGCACATTAGAATCACCCAGAGTTTTTTTAAAAATCCCATGCTGGTGCCCCATCGCCAGGTCCCCAAACCAAAACCTCTGGGGGGAGGAAAGCCCCAGGGAACCCCTGGCGATACAGTGAGGCTGACAGCCTTTTCCTAGGCCCGCACTGTCCAAAACGACGGTCCCTGCCACATGGGTGTGTAGCTTGTGCAATGGCGTGCTGATAGTAATATTTTAAATACCAAATACGACTAAATACTTAATACTTCTAAGTAGTACGGAAATGAACTTCACTCATTTGCTTCCCCGTGTTTTACTGTGGTTCCTGGAACACTTGAAACTCCAGGAGGCTCACAAGCTTCCTCGTGACCACATCAGCCACTCCCCTTAAAGCTGTCACACCTGAGCTGTCACCACACTGAGCAGTGCCATCTTGAACTATTCCTTGGCCATCACACTTTCTAAACCAGCCCAGGCCTGTCACTGCACCCTCCTGAGTCCTCAAATGTGTCCCTCCTGTTACTCCACTTCTGGGCTCACTCATTTCTCAACTCCACATTTCCCCACTCCCACATCTCTCTGGCTATTACTGAAATTCCCCTCATCCTGAAGGCCCAACTCAACTGTCCCCCATGGGCCACTCTCCCTGAGCCCTGGGCCGGCCCAGGCCCTGGCAGGCTGCATGCTGACCCCTGTGATTCCCATTAGAGACATAGTGCCCTGCTTCTGTCCATCTGCCTCAGCCCTGGCCCCGCCTGAAGCGGGTGCATGGCACACAGGGTCCCCGTGCTGGCTTCGTCCTCGCTCCCCAGCCTCCCCAAATTATCCCTGTAACCCCTTATTCCTTCAGCTGAGACCTGCACTGCCCAATTACTAGCCACTGAATTTCTGTGGCTGTGCCAATTGAAATTAAACAAAATTTAACAGTTTGGTGCCGCAGTGACACGAGCCACATGCCCAGTGGCCACTTGGCAGCAGAGACACGTACATTCCATCATCATGGAAAGTTCTACCAGCCAACCTGATCTAGACCATCCTCTCCCCAACTCGGTCCATCCTTCTTGGTGACTACAGCAGCTTGCTGTGGCAGCCTCTCGCGCTGAAGACCCCATTCCCCTGCGCAGGGGCCACGCGTCTGGCTCTGACTCACTGTGCCACTGAAAGCGAGCCGCCCCCCGCTTAACTCAGCTTTACACACACTGCAGACTTGGCCCTTCCTCTCCTGCCCTGACATGTGAGGTTCAGGACCACAAATGTAGCGGGCAATCGAGGTTGGGGGGTGAATGTGCTTCTTCGCTCTAGTGCCAGAAATCCAGAACAGAGCGCTGCAGGCAGGGCCCCTCCCTGGTGCCCCAAGCCTGCCCTCACCTTCCCTTTCCAACTCCTCATACATGGCCTCCTCCTCCTCCTCCTCGCCCACCTCCTCTTCTTCCTCCAGAGTGAAGGACAGGCTGGAGATCTTCCTCTTAGCCTCTTTCTTGCGTTCCTTCTCTCGCAGCTTCTCCAACTTCCTGCCAAGGTATGGATAGGCATCATACACCATAACCTCACCCCGAGGTCCCGTCCCTGACCCAGAAATGCCTATGTGCTCAGTGTGGGACCCATGTTGTGCAAACCCTGAGGAGTTCTACTGCTCTGGGTCACTTCAAGCTCATGGGCAGGGTTTGATTACGACACAAGGGTCCCCCCTTCAAGGTGCAGGAACAGCCTGACCCGATCCCAAGAATGAGCTACATCTCAGAGGAGGGCTCCTGGAGGGGAGGAGAGGACTGACAGCTGCAGTTCCTTGGACTGCTCCTTCTTGGCCAGCTGCTTCTCCCGTTCCTTCACCAGTGCTTCCTGCTTGGCCTTCATGTCATTCAAGGTCACAAGTCCTGTGAGACCAGCAGACGTGGATAAGGATCAATCACCCAGAGCCAGTGAAGTGACAGGCCTCTGGGTCCAGAAGAAGGAGACATGCATGCTTTACGCACCCACTGTGCTGGACTTGAGCTCTGCCTCCACAGCATCATAGTGTGCAGAGAACTTCTTATCAATGTTGGATTTCATTATGTTCTCCTGAAAGCGATAGAGAGTAGCAGTGAGGGCCGCCCACCACCCCACGATGGAAGTGGGGACCTGGATTCTTGGATTCCAGTCCCAGATCTGCTCCTGGCCTAGAATATGACCTTGGAGAAGAAATGTCTCCCTTTCCTCGGTCGATGGAAGGTTCCACAGGGTTGTGAGAAGCTCTTTCAGTGCTGAGGGAGCCAAATGGGGTTCTTTCCCTGTGACCTCTGAGCTGCTCTGGCCCCTCCCTGCCTCCCACTGAGGACCAGGGCTCCCTCAGTAGCCTGGAGCCATGGGTTCTACCTGCCTTTGGAGTTTTTCTGCACCCTGCTTTTAAGCTGAAGCTCTGGAGACCCAAGCCAAGGGGTGACAGGAGAGTGAAGAGTGGCCGAGGGACCTAGTTCCTCCCTGAACAATGCTGTTCCCTCTCAGCTCCAGATGTTGCCAACAGCTTCCCATGAGGCCCCCTCACTCGGCTCACCCCCATCCCATGTCCGTCCCCTCTCTGGCCAGTGGCTTCCAGAGGAGGTGGCCAGCAGAGAAATGTACCTCTGGCTGTCCAGAGAGTCAGCACCGAGACAACGGGGCATGAATCGAGGCCTCAGCAGGACTCAGCATGGGGCCACTTCCTTGGACCCAGCTTCCACAGTACCTAAGGTAGGAGGCTCACCCCTCGAGTCCTCAGTTCATACTCTTCCAAAACAAGTCTCCCGCAAAGGCCAAGAGAGGGCTCCTTCCTTCCTGATCTCTCACTGACCTTTGTGAACCACTAGCGCCCCTGATGCTCTCGTCTACCTTTGTTGACACACAAAGGGCTCTGGAAAGAGCCTCAGCAAAGGGTGGATTGGCTGGGGCCTGCCCTTCCTAGTATCCATTGGCTCAGGGCAGAGAACCTCACTCTCAGGGCTCAGGAGCCAGAGCAAGGATGCTCTGTGCCTGCGAAGGGTCCCCCAACGTGACTAATGGAACCACTGACTGTGGCTTCCTCCAGTTGGAGACGTGTCACAAGGTAGCCTGGCTCAGCCTTCTGAGCCCATTTTATAGATGAGCAGACTGTCGCCAGTTTGCTTCTGCCCCTTGCTGAAGATCAGCAAGCAAGGACCCCAATCTGCACGCCGCCCGCGCTCTATGCCCGCCTACCGGGGTTGCGCGGGGCCCCAGGGGGCGAGGCAGTGGGCAGCACGCATGCTCTAAGGCGCCCCGGCCCAGCCCGCACCTCGGCGATCCGCTGCTTCATCTGCTCCATCTGCTCGCGTTGCTTCTCTCTCTTCTTCATCAGGTGCATGGCGCGGCCCGCCTCGCTCGCGGCGCCCTTGTACTGAGCCATGTTGGCAGCGGCAGCGGCAGCGGCAGCGGCGACAGCGACAACAGCCAGGCAGAGTCAGCGGCTCCGGTGACCGCGGCGCCCGGCGTCCGTACAATCAGCAGACGCCCGCGCGCCGTGACGTCGGCCACCGGGAACGTGCGGGCGCCTCGCCCCGCCCCGGCACGTGACTGCCGGCCGCCCCGCTGATCATCGGAGGCAGGCTTGGGGTCCCCTCGGCTTCCCGCCCAATAGTCCACACTCCTCTCCTCCCCTCAGCGCTGGCTTCTTTGGTTCCCCGTCAAGTCCCCAACATTAACCCGAGGACAGAGGCTGGGCTCCCCAGTCCTACTTCCTCCTGTTGATCCCAAGGCTGAGCATCCGGGCCCTCCACTTCCTCGATGTTGACTCGGCCCAAGGCCAGACTGCCCCGCTGCTGCTGCCCCGACAGCCAGTTTCCCTCGTTCCCACCAGTTTGACCCTCACCCAAGACTGGGCCCAAGTTCTCCCGTTTACAGACCACGAGGCTGGAGCCTGGGTCCCCTCTGCCTCCTCTTTGATTTGGGGGGAAGGACTGCTTGCTCCTCTTCAACTCCCACCGCCCCCCCCCCAGGCAGACCCCTCTCCCACTTTCTTTCACATTGACTCCTGATGATGGCAGTCCTGGTGCCAGCACTAACTGGCTGGGAGGCCCTGGGCAGGTTCATGTGACTTGTGTCCTTTGTATAGGCCCTTGTAGATCCGGAGCTCTTTTAATTCCCTGATGAAGAAAGTGACTTTTTCATAGCCATCAGGAGCCAGGCTAAGACACAGTCCCAAACTCATAGAGACAGCATGATATCCCAGTAAGCCAAGGCCCCTCCCAGTGCCCAACTTTTAAAAAATAAAGCTAAGCCCTGGCTGGTATGGTTCAAATAGATTGAGCACTTGCCTGCGAACCAAAAGGTCGCCGGTTTGATTCCCAGTCAGGACACATGAGCACTTGAGCGTGGGTTGCAGGCCAGGTCCCCAGTGGGGGACCCGTGAGAGGCAACCACACATGGATGTTTCCTTCCCTTCCCCTCTGTCTAAAAATAAATAAATCTTCAAAAAAAAAAAAAAGAAAGAAAAGAAAAAGAAAGCTAAAGATCTGAGCTCAGGTTTCCACACAGTTTTATTGGGAGGTTTTGTTTTCTGTGAAATACACTAGAGGTTGGGGAAGGGCACACATTCACTTTGCAAGATAAGGGTTTCCCACCACTAAGGGAAAGTCGTGGAGGGGGGTACACTGGGGGTCTGGATCCATTTTCCCACCTCCTTCTGCTTTGCTCACATTTCTCTCTCAGCAAGTATCAAAGGACAAAGACACAAAGAAACAAAAACAGTAAGATCAACCTCCAATGGGGCCACACCCAAGCCCTTTCCCCTTGCAGGCTGCCTAGGTCGCCAGGGGAGCTGCTCCACAGCCCCAGGCACCAAAAGACGGCAATGGAGGGGTAAAGCACTCTCTTCTCAGACAGGGTGGACAAAAGTTAATAAATTAGAATAAATTAACGGGGATGGGGAATGAAGGATGAAACTTTGTGCTGGGAGGGCCCCTTCTCTCCAACACGCAAGAGAGTTGGTGGGGGGAGGCAGGGGGCATCTCCAAAGGCCACTACAGTGGGAGGAAGAGCGGTGGGGGCAGAAGTCAGCTTTTTCTCCACGTTCTTCCCAAACAGAGCAGAAGAATTACAGGTAGGGGGAAGAAACACACATTAAGGAGAGGAACCCTCTTTTCCCAGGATAAGTAAGGGCCAAGAAAGAGAACACTATCCAACCCCCGCCCCCCATCTCCCAAGCCATCACTAAGATTAAGGATTTGGTCAGTGAATCAATGAGGTGGGTGACAGGAATGTGGTGGGGGAAGCAGAGGATGCTGGAAACGGGCGCCCAGCCATGCCCATCTCCCTAGCCCTGGAGGAGAACAGGGGAGAGGGTATCCGGGGCTGGGGGAGGGTCAGCAATCACTGGTCAGCTTCTCCAAAGACATCGTTCTGTTTGCGCTTCATGTTCTCAAAGTCGAAGGCGGAGCCTGCCATGCGCTTGTAGATGTCTTTGATGTCATTGCATGTTGTCTCAAAGTGTGTGGTGGCATCGTAGGAGCAAGAACAGAACACCTGAAAACAGTGAGAGCCAGGGTCCAGGGTGAGTTGGGCAGGGCCCTGGGCAGGCAGCCAGGAGCCAGGGCCGGGCTAGGCTGCCTACCTGGCTCTCAGAACCGTCGTCGATGGGCTCATACAAGTCACTGATGGCCACAAACCTGAGGGGCAGATAGAGGGGAGGAGACAGGCTTCACAACCAGCCTTGCGCTTCCCTGCTCCCCATTCCCTAGTCCTCCATCTCGGTGGCTCCCTTCCTCCCCCAAGCCCCTCACTTCTGGTCAATGGGCTCCAGCAGCTCCAGGGCCGGCTCAACCTCCTTTTCAGGCTCCGTGGTCTCCACCGTGGTGCTGGCAATGGCGATGTATTTGCCCTGAGCAGCCACATTATGTGCGTAGGAGATCATGCACACGTAGATATCTGCCCGCAGGAAGCACTCCATTAATGTGGGCACACAAAGGGCTCCCGTGGGTGGGCTCAATTTGGGCTTGCCTGCCCCTCCCCAGCTCCACACAGCAGGCAGCATCGAAGCTGCCATCCTCATGAAGGGCAAGAGTCCAAGCCACCCAATCCCTAGAGCTCCAAGTCATGGGGACTGTGATGTGGGTCCCTGTTCTTCCATGGAGGGATCAGGCAAAGAGCTCCAAGGCTTATGAGGAGAGGCAGTCACCCCAAAGACAACACCCCGAAGGAAGTCTCGTGGGGCTTGGCCTACCTGACTTCCTGTTGACCTGGTTCTGGGGGATGATGATTTGGCAGGAGTTGGCATCATTGGTGTTCTTGATGGGGTGGCTAAGGATACAGATGATGCGGATAACCTGGCCAGCCTTCCGCACACGGTCTGGAACGTAGCTGGGGTCACAGATCAGCTGCTTGCATCGGGCCACCTGTGAAAGCACCAAAAGGCCTTGTCCCTATTCAACACTCCCCTAAGTAGTCATGGGGATGGGCCCACCGCTAGGACTGGCAGCTCCGGCCCGCAGGGCACTCCTCTGAGCTGTCACCACTGCCCCTCCTGTAGCATACTGCTCCATCCTGCATCTCAGAGAGACAGATCCCCATATGCAGAGCTGGACGACCCCCTTTGCTGAGACACTATGATCAGGAACACTCCCTGGACCACTGACTGACACAGCACGTGTGCTTTGAGAGATACCTCTCCCCAAGAGGAATGGCTACGTAGCCTTCTGGAGTTCCAGTGGCCAGCCCGAGGCCCTCAGAACTGAGGAGCAGCAAACCCAGCAGAGCCAGGGTCACTGGGAAGAGAGCCCCTTAAGAGCTCCACCCAGACCATCATCATTGCACTACGGGGAAGGCTTACCTCTCCCTCAGACTTCACACCCACCACCTTGCCATTCTCCATGATGATGTCATCCACGGGTTTGTTCAGCATGTACGTTCCCCCATAGATGGCACTCAACCTGTGGTGGGGAGAGTGATGGTGAAGTACCCCACCCAGAAGAAACAGGGGCCAGTGCCACTGTACCCCCACCCCGACCAGCACCGGGGTGCAGAGGGGGCTGCCCCAGGCAGGCAGAGCTCAGGAGACCCGATGGTTCTTCCCAGGCCTGTCACCCAGAATATCCTGCAAAGGGTAGCCTGAGGGTGGCGTGAGAGCACAGCTCCTCAGGGAAGGGGTCTGGGAAGCAAAATGAAGGGCTCTGGGGAAGTCCCGACTCAAGTTTCCAAGTACTCAGTCCAGCCATAGCACTGCCTGACTCAGGCCGTGAGCAGAGCGAGTCCCATCCGCGGTGGGCTGCCTCTCCAACTCTGCCCTTCAGCACACTGCGGCGGCACCCCCATTACCCAAGGAGGATGCAAAGTGAAGGAAGACCACGTGGCAGACCATGAAATGCCATGAAAATGCTCAAAGGAGCCGTTCCCATTCTTGGCCTTGGTCCTACTTAGTACTGCCAACTGAAAGAAGCCGTTTCCTCACCTCGCAAAGCCCTGAGGCAGCTCGCCAAGGCCGTAGAGTGGGTATAAATATGGGCTCTTGCCATACCGGGCCAGGGACTCACTGTACAACTTGATGCGGTTGATGGTCTCAAGACAGGGCTGGTCCAAGTAGCTGGGGGGACAGAGTCAGAAGAGGCTCCAACAGCAGAACTCCCAGCTTACCCCCACCCAGGCACCAGACCAGCATTCCCCCACCCTCAATGGCCTGAGGAAGCCTATGTGTTAAACACAGGGAAGGAATGGAAAAGGCAACAGGTGAACATGTGGCTGAGTACAAGAGATGCGCACGGTGGGGCCAAGGAAGCAGCAGGCAGGGGGAGGGGGGCAGGGTGCAGGCCAGGCGAGGTGCAGTGTGCCATGCCAGTTTCCCCTCACTCATCAGTGCGGTAGAGCGCCAGGGCATGGCCAGTGAAGTCAATGACGTCCTGGCCCAGGTCAAACTTCCGGTAGACTTCACGCATGCTGGTGCTCTGGGGGTCGACGCCCTCAAAGGTCTTGGGGTCATTCTCATCAAAGTTTGCGACAAACACTAGAAACTTGCGGAAGCGCCGTTTCTCAAACATACCCATCAGATCTGCAGAGGTGACGTGAGGAGAGCCTTCATACCACACAACATGAATCTCTCCTTCCCACCAGGCAGGCCAAGAAAGCAGGTTCCCCAGCTCCCAGCCGAGTTCTCCCACTAACCACCATGTGACCTTAGATTAACCCCGCTGCCCTTCTCAGCCTCTTTCCCACCTGTACAGGTTCAGAAGGACCTCCCAGCTCTGACACTGGGGGATGTTTCACTGGTCAAGCGGTGGAGTCCCTGTCAAAGGCTAAAGTCTCTCAAGAAGGAGTCCCTCCCTCCACATCCCCTCTGCATGTGGACTTCCCTCATGGCGACCCGTGTGAAGCACAGTCAGGGTCAGTAGAGGGAAGACAGAGCAAGGGGCTTCCGCTACTACACGGGGATGTGACCTTGGGCAAGGGGTGCCCCCATCCCCATGACTCTCTGCCTCAGGGAACCCACACTCACTAGAAGCCAAGGCTTCAGTCTCAGTGGACGGCACT